ATATCATTATGAGATCCTTGTGATTCTTTTATATGCTTTAATTCTTTCTTGTTAGATTGTTTAGTAGATTAGTGTTGATAGAAAATTTATGCTTGTCGGGCTTGTTTGATAGTTCCCTTATGCGTTTCCCTTTCCATATTCAGTCATTATAGTTATATGCTTCTTGAGTTTTAGCTTGTGGGGTGTGTGCCCGTTGGTATTAGCTGAGATTTGGTGATTCGGGTGTTCAGTTATGTGGCTTTCATGGTTATTGTATCATCGTCAGTGTTGTGGAGGTTTGAAACGGGTTCCTATTGAATATGAGGCTTATGGCCGGTGCTAAATTTGATTTCGGGCGAATATTGTGATCAGAAATATTACTGTGGGCCTATATGTGATGTGTCATGTTGTAAGGTTGTACTATATGGGCGTTGGTATGAATTGATGCAGCTGGTTGAGACTGATACCGGGTATGGATTTAGAATCGGGTCTTTGGAAATGGATGGAAGGTGAGAATTATGGTTCTAAGGCTTATTGGTATTGCTAGAAAGGCTAAATTTCAGTTGAGATGGTGTCGTCAGGCTTATGTGGATTGGGGTGACGTGGGATCACCCGCGGGTGTATGTTGGAAGTGGGCATTCAGTGACTTGAGGACTTCGAAGCGAATCTTGGCACGTTCGAGGACGAACGTTGGTTTTAAGAGGGGGAGGATGTAACGACCCGGCCGGTCGTTTTGAGAATTTAAGCTCCGTTCAGCGGCGCACAGTCTTGAACAGCTTCATAATATGAGTATCGACTTGCGTGCATGGTTGAATTCAGTTAATGAATGATTCAAAGTCAAATTGGAAGAAGGAATCTAGTTTTGGAAGTTTGAACGGTGAGAATTTGACCGGAATTGGACTTTTGAGTAAACGGCCCCAGAATGGGTTTTGGGTGATCTCAACAGCTTCGTATGGTGATTTTGGATGTAGGCGTGCGTTCGGATTGTGTTTTGGAGGTCCGTAGCTAATTTAGACTTGAAATGCCGAAAGTTGAATTTTTGAAGTTTCCGGTTCGATAGTGAGATTTTGATATCGGGGTTGGAATGGAATTCCAGAAGTTGGAGAAGCTCCGTAGTGTTGAATGTGACGTGTGTGCAAAATTTCAGGTTATTCGGACGAGGTTTGATAGACTTTTTGATCGAAAGCGTAATTTGAGAGTTTTTGGAATTCTTAGGCTTGAATGCGATGAAAAATTGGTGTTTTGATGTTGTTTTGAGCATTCCGAAGGTCGGAACAAGTTTGAATGATGTTTTAGGATTGGTTGGCATGTTTGGTTGAGGTCCCGGGGGCCTCGGGTGTGTTCCGGGTGGGCCACGGGTCATTTTTCCCTATGTTTGAACTGTTGTTCTGCTCTCTGGTGTTTCCTTCTATGCGATCGCATAGGCATAGCCGCGATCGCGTAATACAATGTCAACCTGCCATATTTTCCTTCTATGCGATCGCATTGATTTGTTCGCGATCGCGTAGCACAAAATTTGAACAGTAGCATTTTCCTTCTATGCGATTGCATTGAATTGTTCGCGTTCGCGTAGCACAAAATTTGGACAGTAGCATTTTCCTTCTATGCGATTTCATTGATTTGTTGGCGATCACGTAGCACACTTTGGGCCAGCAACTATTTCTTCTATGCGATCGCATCTCTTCTCCCGCGATCGCGATGTACAAATACCTGGGCAGTATTTAAATAGCCCATCTGCGACCCTTCTTCATTTTTCCACCATTTTGAACGGGATTGAAGCTTTTGAGGGAGATTTTCGAGGAAACCAAAGGGGAATCACTTGGAGGTAATATTCTTGACTTCATAACTCGTTTATATGTGATTAAAGGTCTAACTAGTGGTGAAAAATTAGGGAAAAATCAGTGCAAAATGGGTAATTAGGGCTTGAGATTAAGAAACCTTAAAATGGGTATTTGAGGGGTCAATTGACCTCCGATTTCAGTATTCTTGATATGTATACACTCGTGAGAGTACGAGGGTTCTGAAAATATAAATTTTACCCGATTCTGAGGCGTGGGACCGAGGGGCGTTTTGGTCATTTTACCTAATTTCACATATTAGCTTAGAATTTGTTTGTAGAATCTGTTACATGAAGTGTTATTTACATTATGCAATTGAATTGGATAGATTTGGGCCATTTGGAGTTGAGTACTCGTGGCAAGAACGTGGTTTCGGGTTGATTTTGAGCCGGTTCGAGGTAAGTATCTTGCCTAACCTTGTGTGGGGGACTTCCCCTTAGGATTTGAGTCTGCTATGTTGATTGTAGTTCGTGTGCGCGAGGTGACGAGTGCATGCTCGAATTTATTTGTGGAAAAATTGGCCTTCTAGGGTTCTTAGGTCCTTATATTCACTGTGTATGAATGTGTACTTTATATGCTTGAGTTTTCCACTTACTAGTTTCACCTCTACATGCTCATGAATCATTCTTATTGCCTGCTTGACTCTTATTTTGCTTAACTAAACATTTTACCTCTTCTATTGTCATGCTATCCTTCATAACTGCTCGTCTTTATTGGAAATCATTATTATCTCTCCTGTAATTGTTTAGTCTGGATTGAGGTGATGATTATCTTTCCGCTGCCCATCCTTAATTGAAATTATTGTATATTCTTCGTAAATTGCCCAACCTTAAAAGAAGTTTAGATAATCTATATCTAGTCGACATTTCCTTATTTGGAATTATTTGATTCGTGTTAGCTTCCTTGTTGTTGAATTACATGTTGTGGGACGTTGCTTCATATTATTTTCTTCCCTGTTGAGCTGTTCTTATCACGCTTAGTATTCTCTATTGTGGTTATTCCTTGTGAGCTAGTTTTACCGTCTCCTTGTGATCGAAAGTTCTTGAGTTGATTTGCTTGTCGTGTTCTTGTCAATATTGTCATTGTTGCAGTTGTACTTGTTGTGGTGGTGCACGAGGTTTCTGCCGTGCGGTTGTTGATATTGTGATGCACGAGGTTTCTGTCGTACGGCTGTTGTTATGGGGTTGCACGAGGTTTCTGCCGTGCTATTGCTATTATTGATATATTGCACATGCGGAGTGACAAGGCGGGGTACGTATATATATATGCTTATATGTGGGTTGCGCATGTGGCGAGACAAGGTGGGAACATTATGATGTACGTGTGGCGAAACAAGGCGGGCACTTATTATGTTTTTATTTGCACGCGCGGCGAGACAAGGTGGGCTTTGTCAGGGATTGATTGTGAGGATTTGTGATGGCCGGGGGCATTCTTGTTGTTTAATATTGTGTTGCGGTACGCTTACCTGTATGAGCTTTATCTCGTGGAAATTTTGAGGAAACATCTTACGTGCTATCCGTTCTTTTCCTTACTCTTATTAGCTGGTAGGAACTATGTTAAAGCACTTGCACAAGCATACACGTAGTTGAACACTCCTATTGGATGTGAAGTCCTCCTGATTTTGCTGAGTATAGTTGTACACCCTCGTTTACTTGTTATATATGTGAGAGTGGCTCTAGTTAGCAAGTGAGTTGTCAGCATTACCATGAAGCTGATGGGGGCACAGGATGCCAAGTGTTAGATTTCAGGTACTGGGACTCATGAGCTGTAATTTGTCCGAGATTCGGTACTTGTGGAAACTGTTGGATAAGGCCTGATGTGAACACTATCGTAGGATCTGAGTTATTGCTTACCTTTATTGTATTGTCAATTTAGGATTTGGGTTTGGGTTTTTGCTCGCTCTTCTATGTCATTATTCTTAGTATTTTCGTTGTTACTTGTTGTTTTCTTCCCCTATTGTGATTGTAGTATTGTTAGCCATTTCGTGTAGTCTTTATATATACATCATGTTCCGTTGTTCCCATATTTGTACAGTTTATTGGACCGGTAGGTGTCTTGACTGTTCCTCGTCACTCCACCGAGGTTAGTCTTGATACTTACTGGGCACCACTGTGGTGTGCTCATGCTACTCTTCTGCACATTTTTGTTGTGCAGATCCAGGTACTTCCACTCAGTCTTATCATCCTTGAGGCGAGGCGCTTCTGTAGAGACTTCGAGGTATATCTGCCGCGTCCGCAGACCGAGGAGTCCCTTTCTATCTTTCTGTAATAGTATAGCCCTTCAGTAGTTTTCCTTTTGTAGACATTTCTGGAGTTAGAGCTTCTTATGTATCTCTTAGCTTGTGATTCATGGGGTTCCAGATTTTGGAAGTGTTAGGTTGAGATTTTGTACTGTTATGTACCAGGCGGCATCTTAAACACTATTTTATTTTACTATTTCGGCTTTTAAATTATTTCTTCCGCAACTGTTGTTTATATTCCGCATTGTTAGGCTTACCTAGTCGTAGAGACTAGGTGCCGTCACGATAGTTCACGGAGGACGAACCGGGGTCGTGACAGTTGATTATCGTTCCCGATGGAACTGGGTAAGTATTATTTGTTTATTTTCTAATTAATTATAAATCTGGTTTCTAACACGTTTAATTTAATGCAGGTTTCATCCTTGTACTCAAGCTACAAAACCTGTGGTTGAATCAATGTGTTAATTTTATCATGGACCTTGGAGGTTCTGGTCAGATGTTCCATAGAACATTAGGGACGGGATGTTTGATGAATTTAGGGTAAAATAAATTATTTCATTTTTCAACTAGTATCACTACAACAAATATGGGATACGACGACATTTTATAAATGTCGCCATAAGTCACTTAAATGTCATATACTTGTTTACCGATATTTATTTTACATTTATGTTAAATGTCGGAATTTTCAATGTCGTTAATTTTGCGACATTTAAATTAATGTCGGCAACTAACTAGCGACATTTATTTACGACATTTTCAAATGTCAATAATTTGAACTCTTAACCTATCTTGTTTGTGACATGTATAGAAATGTCACCAAATTATTTATAATTTTTCACATATGATTTGAATATTAATATCACTATCAATATTTATGATTAACATTAGAATAAAGACATTTGTTATAAGTGTCAAAACTATAGCTTTTTTGCTCTTTTATGTAATGTGGAAAGCAATAAATTAATTTTTATTCATTTCAAAACTTTCCAAGAGACATACATCCACACATGCCAGTAACACCATAGACAATTAAAATAAAACAACTACATCAACATGCAACTACAATTAAATAATCATAACTTTTTCCTAAAAAATTTCTAACACCAATAATTCAAGCTTCAAGCAGCCATGTGTTTTCCTGATGAAGTGTTCCATGCTTTCTCTAAGACAAGATTCTTCACAATAGTAATTGATCTCATGACAACCCTCAAAAATCTATTGTATCCAAGATCTGAAACCAAAAAAGAAAATTATCACTAAACAGATTAAGGCAAAATAACATTAATATCAGTTTACCTGATAAGAAGTCACAGTTACCATGCTTATAAACTGTTTTGCAGCTAATTCACCAATAGAGAGAAGATTAAAATAAATAACGAAAGAGATACAAAAAGTTCAAGGCCTTTAGTTATCACAATAGCACAAATCTCATTTCACTCGAAAAGAAAAAGATAAACTTACAGAGCACGAGTTAGATAAGGTGAGTCTGATCGGAAATTGCAAGACTGACAGCGGCTAGTGGCTGAAATTTTAGATCTGGCTGGCGGCCCTTCTATTTTTGAAACGTTTCAAAGGATCAAAATAGATCATAAATCTAGGGTTATGGACAAACAGTCAAAAGCAGCCACGAATCAAATATAGAAGATTGAGATTTATAAATCTTAGATTGATTTGAAATACCTTACGGGCGAATTGGGTTAAGAATGAATGGAAGATGTAGAGAGCAAAGTTTCATAATGCCTCGGCGGCTTGAATAGTCCTAAACGAAATAGGGTTCAGTATTTTTAAACTTAGATTAATTTCTCATATTGGGAAAAGAGATTACTTTTTGACATTTTATTATAAATGTCACTTGTTAATGTCATTTTTTTGGTAATTAATTTTCTATTATCAGGGAAATATTTACAAATATATCAAAACCCTCAAATCACATAGATTTGGACATGTAGTCCCAAATCTAGTGTCCTCATATCTACATAGCTAGTCGTCTACAACTATGGGTAAAAATTCAAATGCTGTAAATGTCTAGCTAACTTAAAGTTCAACACTCCCCGACAATGCACTTCTTGGATGATCATTTTAGTCATTTCCTCACTGCTTTTTTTTTTTTTCCTCTGAAGGTTCTCCAATTGCGTTCTTGCCAAATATAGTAAACTGCACATGCAAGAACCATTCTAAGTGTTGCACACATTTGCTTCTTTCTTGAACCATGCTTGATTGCCCACTGCTTCTCAGCCTGCCAACCTTGTATATTCTTTTGGAATCCCATCCATTGCACACACTTGTTAATGTCATTTTACTCCTAATAATGTGACATTTAAACCAAATGTCAGAATATTTATGTCATATTTGATCAAATGTCGGTATTTAAATGACATTTTACGAAAAAACGTCAAGAAATTAACTTTTTTCTGACATTTATTACGAGTGCCATTAATTAAATGTCATTGTATGATGATAGGCTATAATTACGTATTTTAGTCGATTATTACACTCTAAATTACTGCACTTTAATTGAGTTTGCGCGTTAATCGCTAGTGTTTTGCACTAACGGTGTGTTTTATGCCTTGTAGGAGTGATTCCGAGCTATGTAGATGTTATGAAATGAATTCGAGTGATTTGGAGCTTTAAAGTTTGAGTAAAAGTTCAAGGAATTAAGCCGGGATCGTGTTTGGGGGTCAACGGATGATAGTTAGAGCGAACGAAGACTCTAGTAGGTATATTGCGCACTGTCTGGTAAAATAGATATAACTTTTTACTCAGAACTCCATTTGGGCTCTACAATATATGGTTGAAAAGCGAACTCAAAGGGCTACCACTTTCATGTTTTATATTTTTCCAAATTCGAAACATAACAGAGTGACAAATGCCCGTCAATAGCGCAATCGCGCTCGCGCTCATCAGGCAGAACACTGGGCCACTAGCGCGACCACTAGCGCGATCGCGCTAGTCAAACCCGGGAAAATGTCCTTTTTCACATTGGAGAAGGTATAATTATTTGGGCCCAACCCTACTTGGTATATATACATGGAAAAACGGTATTTTGAGGGAGGAGGACGTTTTTTAGAGGAAAACACAAGCACAGAGCCGCTGTGGAGGCCGGGTTTCATCTTTTCTTCCACCAACTTAGTAACTTTTATGTTTCTTTGTATGATTTGTTGTTTTGTTACCATGTCTATGTGGAGCTAAGCTTCACGTTCTAGGGTTGTGGTTCTTTCATGACTATTGTTATTCGGATATTGATTTTGATTTCTTAGTTTATCATGTTGGTTTATTTATTTAATCCTGCACTTAATTATTTGATTGCTTGATCACCAATTGAATACTATCTACGAATCTAGAGTTGAACTCGAAAGTGGGAATTCTAGATTGCATATAGGATTGAGTAGAGCAAGTTCTTGAACCTGGGCATCGGGGAACGGATTCGCAATTAGGATAGACATATACCTAATTGCCTTGCCTGGTTGAAATACAGGAATTATAAATGCGTTCTTGTTGATTCTAACTCCATAGACATATAGGCGTTAGGTTAGCTTGAATAGGCGAGTAAGAGCTCGACAGATTCTTATGAGTAATATTAACCCTGTCTACCAATAAACTCGATAAATTAGTTAGTCAATTCAATTGAAGAATACAATAGGAATGTTAGATAGCCCATAACCCTAGATCGTTTTCATTACATTGATATCATAAAAATATGCTCTTCATTATTTATATTCTTTATTTAATTAGTTTAGAATCAATTACTTCTAGGTTTAATTCTTGATTAGATAATCAGGATAGTCTAATTTAGTTAATGGTTAATCACAAGTCCTCGTGGGTTCGACATCCGACTTTTAGTCACTTTATTACTTGACGACCGCGTGCACTTACGTGAGTGCGTTTGGCCGCAACAAGTTTTTGGCGCCGTTGCCGGGGACTTAGAAATTAACTATTTTTCTAAATTAGACTTTTACTTTTATCTTTACAAGTTTTTTTTTCTTCTCTTTTTGTAAATATTCTAATTTTATTACTATTTGACTTTTCTCCTAGTGTGTTTCTAGTTCTCTCAACATGACATCTGGGAGGTCTGAATTTGAATATGGGAGTAAGGGTTGGTATTGGGACGTATATTCTCGATTAGGCGAATATGCGGAACGACGTTGTCTTCTGACAACGTTGGTGAATGATTGCTCTAAGGAGAGAGATGAACTTGCACATAAGATTGATAATTTTTGCTTGGTTGTACATAACTTAGATGCAGATTTGAGCACAAAGGTTGATGCGTGTAACGCCCAACAAATTAATAATGAGTTGTGTGAAAAAAATCTTCTAGACCAAATTGAGGAGCTAAAACGAGAATACCAATCACCAGACCATGTTTTTCTTGAGGATGCCAATATTGAGAAGAGTGCTCTAAAGTCATATGAGGGAGTAGATAACATTACTTTGGGAGACTTGAGTGTGTGTAAATATGGGGATGCAAATAGTAGTAAAATTCATGACAATCATTTTTTCACATTGTGTTTAGATAGTAAGATAGTAATCGAGCCATCAGAGCCAATGAAGGGGTCAAAGAGTGAGGATGAGAGCGCCTGTATTCTTGAATTTGTTGTGCCAAAAAGCAAAAATTACATTCCTCATCTAAAGGCCGAGAGGTGCAGAGTGAAAAATTTATTACTTGGCCTGGTTATCTTTGTAGCCCCACCAAAGGTTCATAGCCACAGACTGGATGCCATGTTAGGGGTACAATTCATAAGTTCAAGGTGGAGACAAAAAATTGGTTCAAGTCGTGCCGCGACTTTAAATTAGGCGCTTGTTGGGAGGCAACCCAGCTTTACTGTTTTTTTTTTATTTTTATTTATTTTTGTTTATTTTATTTTTCTATCTTTGTAGCGTTTTTTGTAGGATTATGAGCATATAAGAAAAGCCATTGGAAGTGTGCAAAAGTGAGCTATGTGGTTGAAATAAGTGTGGGGCGACCGCACAAAGGATCGTACCTGGGAGAAGTCTGAGTATCCCGTGAACTGCTAATGCTTCGGCCTTTGGCCTACCAGGGAGTCTCTTTTACCCTCTTGTTATTTTTAGTGTGCATTGAGGACATTGCACAATTTTAAGTGTGGGGCCAGGAGATTGTCTGGGTAATTTTCTGTGCTATGTTAGCTTAATAGTACTCGTTCTTAGTGTAGTAACTTTTTAAAAAAAAAAACAAAAAAAACGAAAAAAAAAATCAAAAAATTTGGACTTTTCCCGACGATGGATTTTGTGGACAGTTTTCTTGAGGGATTAAAGTCTAAACAAGAAAAAACACAAAAATAGGTCTTTTAGCTTTCTTTAGGTAGTAATAATTCCCCATGGTTTTTCTTTGTGCATCGGTTCTTTTTCATGGGATGTAGTTTGAATCGGGTAGTAGTATTTTTTTTATTTTATTTTTAGAGTAGATTAGAATTTAGGGAATACAAGGAGGAAGAATGATAAACCTAGGCGCCCTTGACTTGTTTGATAGTAGCATATTTAGGCTTTGGCATGTGTAGTATCTTCCCTATGATTTGAAATTATTGATAACGCCTTGCTTAGTTGGATAGCATGTCTTGTGATGCCTATGTCTCGTTTTCTTGACTTATGTTCACTTTGTGCTTAATGCTTAATATCTCGTGACTCCGTGAATACTTGCATTTGTTTGAGAGTCGGAATGGGATCGTCCTTAGTGAGTCATGTGCCATGTGTGGTGAGGTTTTTGTGTAGTCTATGTATTGTACTTGTGTCTAGAACTTGCCCGGTTTGTGAGTCGAAGCGAAATTTTAGGTGATGCTCGGCTTGAAAAATGATTTTAGGCTTTCTTTGATCTTTTGAGCTTATTGCTTACCACAAATAAAATTTATCCCTAGTTAACCCTTTTGAGCCTATAGACTTTTATTTGGCACCCACATTACAAGCTTATACCCTTTTTATTCTTAATTAACATTGTTTTGATCCCTTTTCCTCTTAAAGCACTTTAATTGTGAGATGAGCGCTAAAAGAAGTAAGAAGGAACTAAGTATGGGGTGGCTTTTGAGTGGAACCAATAAAAGGAAGAAAGGTGCACTTGTTTTGTAAAATAATACACCATTGGCGGAAATTAAAAAAAAAAAGAATAATCTGAAAAAAAAAGAAAAAAAAATAGAGATGAATACATTGTTGTCTTGTTCTTGATAGTGGGTATGAATTAATGTAGTGCTTAAAGAAGAAGGGAGCATTTTTGGGGTGATATTGTTTGTGAAAGTGAAGTGGATTGAAGAATTTATGCTTAAAGTTGATTATGTGGTGTGTTAAAGTGCTTAGGAGGGTTAGTCACTATTCCTAAATATATCCTACCCGTCCCTTAGCCCACATTACAACCATGAAAAAGACCTAATTGATTTTAGATTGAGCGAGCCTACATTAGTAGAGATTTACATTAAGGGCAAGCCTATGGTACCAATTACATGCATGTGACTTCTTTTGTGAGGGTGAGCAATTTTCTTTGATATATGTGAGCATGAGATTCGAATGTGTGGATTGATTTTACTTTCTTTGCTTTGGTTGTGAGGGCACATAGTTTCACGAGGGATAGGTAACATTATTAGACTTCTCTAGGATGTTGGGTGTTCAAGCCATGAGTGCATTGTGACATTGAGTCGGTTTTTGAGGCTAGGATTGTTGTGAGCATATTGTCTTTGTTTGAATATTTTTGAAGAATGACATAAGTAAAGGGAAGTGCATGATGATTGCATATGCTAGAGTTTAATTGTTGCTATCAACCATAATCATTGGTGTAGTGTGCTTCGAATATGTTAAGTGCTCATAGATAGAGTAAATTTTTGGTTG